AGTTGTAAGTTTCCTAGAAAGTACACGTGGAATTCTTGGTTCATCATTCACTTTGTTCCTAAGATTCTTGGGTCGACCATTGGCCCTTCTGAGCACTGGTGGTTTGATTGGTACCTGAACCTCCAACAAAGGCTATAGTTGGGGCCCATTTGTAGGATATATTAATTATATGTGAATAATTGTTATTGAAAAAAGACTTCTTGCTCAACCAATAATAAACAGATTTAGCCACACTAAGCAAACATAATAAACAGATTTATATGGTGAATGTACAAACCTGTAATACTCAAAGACATAATCTTCAGGTTTTTTCTTGTTTTTCCATATACATGATATGACACGACTACATGGAATACCAGTCAAATCCCATTTTCTGCAAGCACATGTCTGCTGTTTCAAATCTACAGAGTATATCTCTATGCTATTGATGACACCAAATATGGAAAAATCATCATCACCATGCCATGTGGGTGTCCAACCTTCTGCATGTTTTTTGTTCTTTTCAAGAAGAAATTGAATTCTAGGGCAAATATCACCAGTGTATGTATTCATAAGCTCATTTTGACTAGTAATCCTCTTAGTCAAGTAATGTTTAATACCATTCAACAAAGTGATTATGGGTTTATCCCTGCACTCTAGAATTTTCCTATTGAAGGCCTCACATATATTATTAACTTGTAGATCACACTTAGAGTATGTTTTGAAATATGATCTGTTCCATTAGTGAGCATGGATGTCGAACATATCTTTCCGAGCTGCTTCTTTCAAATATTTTAATTGTTGCATTGCCTTATCCCATAATGGAATGGTTGTAGCTCTTACAACACTCCATATTGCCTTTTTCAATTCAAGTCCTGGATGTTTCTTTTTCCAATTGCCATAGAGATGCTTCACACATAGTCTTTGCTCCACATGTTCACTTACACTTTGAACAGTTGGTATTAAACCCTACAAAGTATGACATTACAATATTATGACATTACAATATTATTAAATGAATATCAAAATGAATATGTAAGGGATACCTTTTGCTTATCTAAAATGAAAGCATAAACCTTGTGCTTGATTTCACATAAGTCATCAAGTAGAAGGTATATGAACCACTTCTAAGATGCTCTTGTCTCTGCTTCCACAATAGCATATGCAATAGGAAAAATTTGATTGTTTCCATCCCTGCCTATGGCTGCCATCAATTGCCCACTAAAGTCACCCTTCAAAAAAGAAGCATCTAACCCTATAAGTGGCCTACAATATTTAGAAAATTCATACTTGCAGGCTTCTAAACAAATATATATCCTTTCAAATATAGGTCATTTCTTAGAGTCAGCACACTTTGTACTATTGGGGTTTGATTTAAGCAGCTCTTCAGTATAACTTCTCAAATGTGAAAATTGATCAATTCCAACTCCTTGAATCATATCCATTGCCCTCCTTTTGGATCTATATGCTTGATCATGGGACAATTCCACTTCCCATATGTCAAATGACTCAGCAGTCAAACCCATAGGTTTCACATTAGGGCTATGTCTTAAAATATTTGTAAATTTCTTAGCTAACCAACCTGTTTTTGCTTGCCTATTCTTAGGTGTTCTACAATAACTATGTTCATCTATAAGACTAACAACTTGCCAAAATTGATTGCCAACCCTTTTACTAAGTCTCATGTAGAAATTACAACCTTCCATACACTTAACTATTATCCTCTTGGCATCATTTTTCTTAATGAAGATATTTTTCTTCATATCCATTGCATACTCCTTTACAACCCCTCTCACTAAATCTTTGTTGTTAAAAACCATACCTAGTTGAAATTTTAATCCTTCACCACTTCTATAAGCTCAGAATTTCTCATTTTCTTCATCCTCCTTACTATCAGGGGGTGTATATAGCTGATCAGAGTCATCATCACCATCTTGATACACTGTCTTAGCATCTTGACACGCATCTTCACTACTTTGTAGCACTGTGGTCCAATCCATATTGATTCAATGAGTGTCATCTTCACTTGTAACATAGTCATCCTCACCTTCATTTGATGAATCATTCTGACATTCACTTGCAACATATTCATTGTCACCTTCACTTAATGAATCATTGCCATTATCATTCACATTGTCATGTTCCTTTCCATTCACATTATCATATTCCTTTCCTATTCTCGCCTCCACATTCTCATGTTCATTTTCCTCCACATACTCATGTTCATTTCCCTCCACATCCTCATCTTCCTTAGAGTCAGCGTCTTCATTTCCCTCCATATTCTCATCTTTCTTAGCCTCCACATTCTCATCTTCCTTTCCATCCATATCTTCATTTCCCTCCACATTCTCATCTTCATTTCCCTCCAAATTTTCATCTTCCTTTCCCTCCACATCTTCATTTCTCTTTCCATCCACATCTTCCTTTCCTAGCTCAGCCTCATCTATAATATCTGGAGTACAAACTAAGTGTTCTACATACACATCTATAACATCATAATCCTTAACATCAACAACAAATTTCACCACATCTTGATCAGAACTTAGGGGACTAAGGCCACGCGAAAAACTATACTTGGGGTTCCAATACCACAAACACTTAATATTGGTATATTCCTCATTGTGAATTAACTCTCTCAATTGCATATACGACACATAATCCATATCCCATTCCTAGTTCATTTCAGAAATTATCCCGTTAACATACCACTTCACAGGTTTAGACACTAACTTTCCCCTAAGATGAAATTGTATCATAATGTCTTGCTTTTGACTTGGCCTGTAATATAAATAAGGGTTCGTAATAAACATCAATACTGGGGACTACATTCATAATAAACTCTAATTCAGTCTAAACAACATTTTTTGGTCCAACATTCAGAATAAACAACATATTATGAAACCCACATTCAGAATAAAGAAAACGAAGAAGAGACCATATTATGAATAAAGAAACGAAGATGAGACCATAAACCCTAATTCCAGTTTAAAAAATCCACTTACCTCATACAATATTTCACTTCTTCCTTACTCTTTACATTCCATGGTGTCTTCGTAATTCGTCCACAGATTGTTGATGAGGTTATGAAACCAACTAAAGAAATTAGGGGAATTATGAAGAAATTAGGACTCTTTGATATATAAACACGATTCAAATTTGTTTACAGATTTAAAAAATAACGAAACTATAAATTTTATAATACGTCATTAACTTAACAACTATTTAAATGACTTGGCAATTCTGACTGACCATGTCCAATTATCATTTTGAGCGTCACATAATCAAAACAGGAGGGAGAATAAAAAAATCCTAAAAAGTGGCAATTTGGGAGACTAAAAGGCTGAAAAAATAAAAAAGAGGACTAAAATATTAAAATTTTTTAAATAAATAGACTAAAAATGCATTTAAGCCAAAAAATTAAAGCGGGTAAAATGGTAAATTAGGAGGAATAATGACATGTTTTAATAATAAATAGGTTGTTGATTTGAAACAAATAAAATATTTAACTAAAATTTATTTAAACTAAACGCATAACAATAATAATATCATAATTCGACACTCACTCCTCCTTTCATCTTCATCTCTCCTGAGTTTCGCTGATTTTCTTTCACAAAACATTCTTCATACGATTCGACATTTCGATCTCCAAGTACAAACAGTTGGAGCGAGGTATCCAATTTCAAAACCTTCATTATTAGGGTTTTAGCTTTCTAATGTTTAATGCCATCATGATTATATTGTTTGGATGAAAATTTAATTCCAGTTCAAAATTAAGTAGCATTTGTTTCAATGTTTATGTTTCATTTGGTTGCAAATGTTAATACTAGTTAGTAATGTTAGTGTAGGAATTACCAATTGCAGTTGGCACAAATGGTTAGAGATTTTGTGAATTGGAATCTAATCCGGAATTTCGCAATTGGTAGGGTTTATGTAAATTTCATTGTCAATAAGGGATGTGCCTCCCCTATATACATTGAATTGAGTAACTGATTGATGAATGTCTAACTATTTTTTTGAAATCAGAAGAGTATCTGATTGCACCGTGTATCCAAACTGCAGTTTTGCAGTTAAAAATGAAGCTTGTAAATTGAGTAAATTTGATCAGGAAATTGGATGACTTAACGTTTTGTGTTCGTGTTTTAAGTTATACTTGTTGAAAAATCCAATCTTCATTCAACGATTTCTGTATACTGACTGTGCCAATCAATCTTTTTTTCCTTCTTCATCTAATGTATTAATGGAGCATGTTTACTTGTGTATTTTTATTTATTTACTGAGTTTGAGCCATGGAATGCAGAATAAAAGGAGTTCCTTGTTATAAACAAAGATGATAATCATGAGTTTAGTTCATAGATATGTAGTACTGAAGCAGGGTTTTTTATTTTCCCCCTCCCCTACACCCCCTGGTTTGATATTTGTTGGAGATCTTTTTATATTGTCAGACGTCTCTTTCTCTTCATATAGTATATCAATTTTATGATATGAAGAAAAAGATAGAAAATAAAATACAAGCAAAGAGGTTAAAGAAAAATAATAAAGAACAAAAACAATGTGGAATTGAAGGTTGTAATCTCTTTATTGTTCTTTCCTCTCCTTCTGCATAGTTAACTTGAGTGTCACTATTGTTGTCGAAAACAGATTATTTATGATGCTAATTTGTGGGTGTTAAGTTCTCATTCATATTTGCACATGATTGGATTCCTGAATCCTCCCTGACTGCTTATATCAGTCTTTATCATTTCTCTTTTTTCTTAAAAAAATAGAGCTTGTCAATTTCTCGTTAAATAAAATTTGGTGACAACTTTTGTTTTGGTTACTTTTGATGCCTCTTTTGTCTTGTCCTGTGAGATAATTGTGAATCTACTGTGAAAATAAAATTGTCGATCTTGACTTTGGTAAGGTAGTATAACCTTTTTTGCAAAGATTTTTTCTTAACTTTTAGTGTAATAATGCAAAAAGTGTTTTCAAGAGAATCTTATTGAACACATTATTGAATTTTAAGCATCATGCAGGTGGTGTAGATGGAACTTGAACCCAGTAATCAACCCAAGCAAGAGCGTTCGAGGACAAGATGGACAGCATCTCTTGACAAGATATTTGCAGACTTGGTTGTCAAGCAGATTCAACTCGGGAACAGACAAAACGATGTTTTTGACAAGAAAACGTGGAATCACATTCGTGATGAGTTTAATAAGCAAACAGACCTTAATTTCAATAATAATCAATTGAGAAAACATCTAGATGTTCTTCGGACACGCTTCAATAATTTGAAACCTACCAGTGATCAAAAGAATGGCTTTGTAATAGATGATCCCCTTTACATTGGCTTTGATCAGTGGGAAGATATTGGGGTAAGTTCCTTTATGATAATGTTTTCCTTATGCATGTAATGTCAGCAGTTTATTATCTCATGGACCTGTGATTACTTACATTATACTCAAAATTGATTTCTTTACTTTAGAAGAGTCAAATCCAATTTTAATACAAGTTTGTTAAGCTTCCTGTGCAGACACAGCCGAGGAATGAAACAGTTAAAGGAAAAGAATGTCCGATATATGAGCAGCTCTGTTCAATATTCACAGACTCGCCCGCGGATGGGAAATACGCTCAATCTAGTCATTATGAAGAGTTAGATAAAACCGTCGCTATCGATGCTGCTGGCTTGACTTCATGTCCAGAAAATGGTGTCTCACATTATAAGAATCCATCATCGTCAAAATCCATTCCAGGGAATATCTCAAATGTTGAGAAAGTGACAAAGAATTCACTTGATAGGAAAAGAAAACGTCCTAATGAGACACAAACTACTAGTTTGGATCAAGACGCATGCAATGCTATGGCAGATGCCTTGTTACAGATGGTCTCGGTTTCGAGGTTAAGGGCGGTTGTTTCAAGTGCAATTGATGATAAATTTTCCATAACAAATTGCATAAGGGCTCTGGATGAAATACAAGGCATTGATCAACATCTTTACTTTTCTGCATTGGATCTCTTTGAGGATCCTAGTTTAAGAGAGACATTCATTTCATTGAAAAGTGTCAAGATACAGTTGGCATGGTTACAAGGAAAATGCAGTAAAAGTTCCTTCCGTTAATTTACATTTAAGCCATTTTGAAGTTGGCTTCATTTACCTAGGCTATAGACTTAGTATACCCTTCTTTTTGTTTTGCTGTAAGTAATATTGTTTTAGTTTCTACAAATTTTGTCAACTCCTTACAAGAGCCATTTCTCTGAACATGATTCTTATAGTTATTTCTTCAGATATGATGTTGAGGATCTATTTTATCTACATGTATCTTTGACCCCTGTTAATTAAATGTAAACAAGTGGTATCTTGCAAATTTTCATGATATGTTTATGATTTATGACTCTGAATTTTATATCGAAAGTATACTTTTTAATTCTATAGCCTTCTGAACATAAGGCAAAAGAATTTTCTTTCAAAAATGTTTGGTCTGTAATGACAAAGATGTTAGCAAAAAAAAAGATTTCTGCCTAGTTCATTCTTCTGATAAAAGGAAAGGGTATCCAGAATCTTATGGTTTAGTTACTTGCATTTTAAGGTATCTTTTCTTTACTAATAAAAGGCTTAGTTTTCACTTTTCACTAACATGGTGTGAGACAACTGATATATGCTTAGATCTTTCAATCAATTAGTCCAAAGTTCGATCATTGTCCAATGTGTATGTATAGATAAATATGTATGAAGAGAGGTGAATATTTGAAATAGATAGGCCAATGTGTACGTATAGACAAAATGTATTAAAAGAAGTGAATATTTTAAAAAGATTTCAATACATTAGAGGGATTAGTCTCGGTTAAAAAAGATTTCAATAAATTAGAGAGATTAGTCTCGGCAGTTGTATGCAGATGCTTTGGATAGCTAGTGCATCTTCTCTTGGTGGACGAATGCACAAGAAAACTCATTTAGTAAAAAGTGGAAAACCATATCAATACTACAGAAGCAAGGTTTATCACAGACTAAGGGTCTGTGCTCACCATCAGTTTTGCAGCAATCATATGCAAAAGTGGGATGGCTTCTAGCAATATCAGGTTATACTACAACATAGAGATTACTTCTCACTTAAGAGACCAATTATGCTTCTAGTATTGTTACAATAACTATACAAAATTGGAACCAATAACCTTGAGCAATTTAGTGAAACCTCTCACCCTATCCACACTACTGAAGCTTATCATCCTTCTAATATTGCTAAAGTAGTAATAAACAGAAACAAAAACAGAACTGACAATGAAACTAATTTAGGCATAGTTATCTTGAGGCCATTCTTTACAAACGGATATTTAATATATAATGTTTACAATTACCAAAATTTTACAAAGATAGCTCATGGAAGGGAGTGGCCTAATATAATATCACAGGTTAAAATGCAAACCAAATGAAAACATCAACATAATTCTTTCAGTTGTATCCGGTGTATACAGAGATCAAAGAAATTGAATGAGTAAAATAACATCGCGATTAAATCCAAAATCAGCGCCTCTCAATCTTAGCTTGTCTCAGTCATCGTCTTTGAACTCTCTGATCAAATATTAAACACAAAACAGCGTTAACAATTTTCAGGCCTATTCCGAAAAGCGTGCGTCGAATGACAAAAACCATCACAGCATGCATAATGAGGAGAAAAACCGAACTGCAGAACCCCATACATACCTACGGTCAAGGTAACGAGGTTGAATTCCTGAACCTTGACAAGTTGTGCATGTCAGTGAACCAGCGCCATCACAGTTTATACAACGCGAAACCTCTGTCTCAGCTCCACCAAGTTCAACTGTCACATTGCCAGTTCCCAAACAAAATCTGCATTTCTCTGGCAAAAACGTAACATTTTCATACTTAAGATTGGTAAAAAAAAAAAAAAAAATTATCAACCTAATACAAATTGAACAGAATACATTCACAACCTAATGTCTACTAGTAATCAGCACCAAGCAAAAAGGTTTAACCAGACATATTCATAATCATCACAAAAAGTTTCAATAAAAACAAAATTGCAACAACATAACATTCAACAAACATTCATCCATAAACACTACGTATGAACAATGTTATACTTACGAGCTCCAGATCCATTGCATGGGAAGCATGGCTGTGTGTTATCTCTCTTAGCCTGCAACAAATAGATAAATATATAAGATACTAATATTAATCCAAAAACACATTAACTTGTGACAGTAATATAATAAATAAAAGGTAAAAACACTTGACTGCATTATCAATTTGAGTTTCATAGAACACTGGAATGCCGATTCCAACAGCCACACTCAAAACACCAACAGTTATAGCTATAACCTGAAATGGAAGAAGAAAAAACATTGATAGTTCAACTTGAAAATAATAAATAATTATAAGAAAGAATGAAAGATAATGAAGAAGAAAAAGGAAGGAATGAAAAACCGTATTTTGATCAAGTTCAATAGCTCTAATACGTGGATAAAGTGTATGTTTTGGTTGAATAATGATATTTCTAGAGGATGGAGTGGAAGAGAAAGATTTAAGAGGGGAAGAAAGAAAGGAGGAACGGAAGTGAGGGAGAGAAAGAGAAGAAGATAGAGTCATTTTTCAATGCTTTCAACTTCAACTAAGAGTTGAATGAATGAATGTTAGAGATGTTGTTGGGATATGAGGGAATGAAATGAAATGAAACTCCAAACATCATCCATTCAGTGGTGTTCTGGAGATGTCACAACCACATTGTCATGCTTTCATCTTCCACGTGGCACAATTATGCTTCTTTTGGTTCTCATAGGACTAAGTTAGGACCAACCCAAAGGATATCTCTTTTAATGGAGAATTTTGGGTAACACCCCCCAATTGTTTATCGTACTCTACATAATGTCAAAAATATTCTTTTTATTTTTTACTTCTTTCAAAGTCTAGTTGTTATAATAAAAAAAACACCCCTCTCATTTTTTATCTCTCCCGAAATTCAGAAGTGATAACTAAAAATCTGATAGAAAAATTTTTTTATTAGATTTTTTTTTAAAATCCAATAAAAATGTTTAAAATGAATATAATCTAAAATTTGTAGAAAAACTTGCCGGTAACGATAGCTTGCAAGTAAAAAATCAAACACTTTAAATACTATTAAAACGGTTTTTTCTTTACCGAATTTTAAAAAAATTCGGATACCCCACATATATTATTAGATATTTTAAAAAATTCGATAAAAATGTATAAAATTAGGTATTGGTCTCTTAAAAATTCGGTAGTAACACATTTTTCAAAATCTATAAAAAAATTCCGCACATAATGTATTTCTTCAGCAAATTCCATATGTAAAAAATTAAACACTTAAAATATTATTAAAAATATATATTTTTTTGAATTTTTATAAATAAAAAAATCAGCTACACCCAATATATATTACCTAATATTTTGAATAATCTGGTTCTTCAAATCAAACACTGCTATGGTCAAATAAAAAATTATGTGAGAGTGGCAGGACTAATTAGGTGGTGTCAGGTAAAGTTCTCTTTTGAAAACTTAAAACTTTGCAAATCATGGATAATGAATGATCCAACATGCCATCTTGGATCTCTCTTTAGTGAATGTTTAATAAGATGAGAAAACGAAATTTCTTAATACATCATATATCTTAGTTAGACACCACGTGAAAATACTTAAATGTCTTCATATTCAGGAGATATATTTCCGGATGAACCCAATTCTGACTTAACGTTATTTCGGAGATGTATTTTTAAACTTATTTCGGAGATAAATCTTCGAAAAATATTGGAGTTTAAATCGCGTCATAACCCTTCTCATTCCTCATTTCTAAAAATATTCAAGTTTTTCAAACACTCTCAAAAAAAAATTTCAATCAACAAAGTACAAATCAAATAATCAAGCTAAAATTTCAATCAAAATTACAAATTTGAACTCTAAACATCATCCATTCAGTGGTTTACTGGAAAGTCACAACCACATTGTCATGCTTTCATCTTCCATGTGGCACAATTGTGTGCTTCTTTTTCTTCGATTTCTTATTTTAGCTAGTATCCTCTTTGTTTGTTAGGTAATGAGCCTTTTGGTTGTCATAGGACTTAAGAGTTAGGACCAACCCAAAGGGCATCTCTTTTACAGGAGAATTTTAGGTGACACCCTCACCTCAATTGTTCATCATACTCTTACATAATGTCAAAAATATTCCTTTTATTTTTAACTTCTTTCAAAATCTAGTAGTTACAATTAAAAACGTGTTTTTTAAAGGTTTTTTTATTTATAAATTTGATTAAAAAAATGCATATAATTTAAAATTTATAGAAAAATCAGCTTTTCACAGCAAATTTCTTAAATAAAAAAATCAAATACTTAAAATATTAATAAAAAAAATAATTTCTTTAAATCAAATTCTTTTAAACAAATCCAATATACCCTCACACAGATATTACTCATAGATATTTCAAACAATTTGATAACTCTTCAGATTAAAAGCTACTATGGTCAAAATCAAGAGTTATGTGGGAGGTGTCAGACCAACTAGTGTCACGTAAAATAAAATTCTCCTTTGAAATCTAAAACTTTGCAAATCATAGACCATGAATGACCCAACAAGAATTCTTGGATCTCTCTCTTTGATGGGAAAATTAATGTGAATACAATGAATATAAATAATATTGAGCTTGATTATTTAATTTTAATTGTTATGCATATGTGTAAATTATGAGTCATTCATTTGTAGTCTCTTAATTTAGTTTCTTAGAGGTTAAGAAACCCAAATTTTGGTGATTGAGAAGAAGAAAAATATAGAAATTTTTTACATCTATTTTACCAAAATACAATGTGATTATGGTGAACACAAATAACATCAAGCTTAAATATTTAATTTTAGTGATTACTTATCTAGATATAATTTGTTTGTCATTCCATTATAGTCTTTTAACTCTGTGGCTTACTGACGAAAAAACATGAAATTTGGTGACAGACAAGAAACATATCGAATATATTTACATTTATTAAACCATAATTCAATGTGAAAATGGTAAATATAAATAAATTCTAGCTTGATTATTTATTTTAATTATTACCTATTTTATAAAAAAAATATATGTCATGGATTATAGTCTTTTAACTTTGTTTTTTAGTGGGGAAAAAACTAAAATTTTGTGATGGAGTAGAAAAATAAAATATTTTTTTACATCTACTATAGTCTATTATGTTTTTTGCTTAGTGATAAAAAAACCTAAAAATTTGGGATGGTGAAGAAAAATATTGAATATTTTTAGATGTAATATACCATAAGTCAATGTGAATACGACAAATATAAATAATATTGAGCTTGATTATTTAATTTTAATTGTTATGCATATGTATAAATTATGGGTCATTCAATTGTAGTCTCTTAACTAGTTTCTTAGAGGTTAAGAAACCCAAATTTTGGTAATGGAGAAGAAGAAAAATATATAAATGTTTTACATCTATTTTACCATAATACAATGTGATTATGGTGAACATAAATAACGTCGAGCTTAAATATTTAATTTTAGTGATTACCTATCCAGATATAATTTGTTGTCATTTGATTTTAGTCTTTTAACTTCGTGGCCTACTGACGAAGAAACATGAAATTTGGTGATGGACAAGAAACGTATCTAAGATATTTACATCTAATAAATCATAATTCAACGCGAGAATGGTAAATATAAATAAATTCTAGCTTGATTATTTATTTTAATTATTACCTATTGATCTGACCTGATCAGAAGGGGATCACGGGCTGGGCACACGCTGTTGGACTGCTACCTGTTCACCAACGATGAGGAGGAGAAGGGGGGTGTACCTGCAAGACACTCCGATGCCAAAGTAAGGAATTGGGCAGAGTGAGAGCAAATACAGAAATGGGGTAAGAAGTGAATTACCTGACCCTCTTGTGGAAGAGGGTATTTATAGATAGACCCCAGCGCTGGGCCAACGGTCACTTGTGTTGGGCTAGATTGCCAGGACCAACCCAGGTGACTGCTAGGGCTTACGTGGCGTAGTGAAGACCAGGATGTGGTATTTGCCCTAGTTCAACTGCTATATGAACTCCAAAAGGTGGGCTGACCAGCTCTTTCCGAGGCGGACAGTTGGTGGATGACGTGTCCCCGCGGAGGGGAGCACGCGGAGAATGTGTGAGGGACACGTTGTCCTGCCCGCGGGGGGCAGGCCTTGTCCTCAGAGGGTAGAGTTCTCTGAGCGGGGAGTCTCCAGCCCGTCGTAGTTTGGGGTAGGCCTTCCTCGCCGGAAGGCCTTTCTGGCTCGTCGGGGACCTCGTGCCCGACGCGGTACTCGGACTGGATAGGGTCTGGTGGAACATTATTGGGCTGGGCCCGCGTGGTCAGCCTGGGGCCCAGGCCAGAACACGTATTTTATAAAAAATATATGTCATGGATTATAGTCTTTTAACTTTGTTTTTTAGTGAGTGAAAACCTAAATTTTTGTGATGGAGTAGAAAAATAAATATAATTAATTTTTTACAACTACTATAGTCTATTATGTTTTTTGCTTAGTTATGAAATAACCTAAAAATTTGGAACGATGAAGAAAAATATTGAATATTTTTAGATGTAACATACCATAAGTCAATTTGAATACGATGAATATAAATAATATTGAGATTGATTATTTAATTTTAATTGTTATGCATAATTCTAAATTATGGGTCATTCATTTGTAGTATCTTAACTTAGTTTCTTAGAGGTCAGGAAACCCAAATTTTGGTGATGGAGAAGAAGAAAACTATAAAAACGTTTTACATCTATTTTTTCATAATACAATGTGATTATGGTGAACACAAATAACATTGAGCTTAAATATTTAATTTTAGTGATTACCCATGTAGATATAATTTATTTGTCATTCATTTATAGTCTTTTAACTCTGTGGTTTACTGACGAAGAAACATGAAATTTGGTGACGGACAAGAAACATATCGAAGATATTTACATCTAATAAACCATAATTCCATGTAAATATGGTAAATATAAATAAATTCTTGCTTGATTATTTATTTTAATTATTACCTATTTTATAAAAAAATATATGTCATGGATTATAGTCTTTTAACTTTGTTTTTTAGTGAGTGAAAACCTAAATTTTTGTGATGGAGTAGAAAAATGAAATATAATTAGTTTTTTTACAACTCCTATGTTTTTTGCTTAGTAATAAAATAACCTAAAAATTTGGAATGATGAAGAACAATATTGAATACCATAAGTCAATTTGAATACGATGAATATAAATAATATTGACTTGATTATTTAATTTTAATTATTATGGATATGTGTAAATTATGGTTCACTCATATGTAGTTTCTTAGAGGTTAAGAAACCAAAATTTTGGTGATGGAGAAGAAGAAAAATATAGAAATTTTTTACATCTATTTTACCAAAATACAATGTGATTATGGTGAACACAAATAACGTCGAGCTTAAGTATTTAATTTTAGTGATTACCTATCTAGATATAATTTGTTTATCATTCGATTTTAGTCTTTTAACTCTGTAGCTTACTGACGAAGAAACAAGAAATTTGGTGACGGACAAGAAACGTATCTAAGATATTTACATATAATAAAT